CACTTCCCTGGCGCTTTGCGATACTTGCTTTCCCATTGGAGTTGAGTCAGAGCTGACTCTTCCTCGGGTTGGAGACTGTCAGTCTCACGGGAGGAGATGGCTCTTCTCCACCCCCCCCCCCCCCCCCGGCAGCACCGGTGACTCAGCCTCATGGAACAGGTAGACTGTGCGCCAGGCACTTTACTAATTTTGCGTACATGGTTAGAGAAATGATGTTTCCTTTTCCTTTCTAAGATATCAGGATGGTTCGTTTTGACCTGGGTGCGCTCGATTCTCTTTCAGTGAATGGCAGCGGCAAATAGTCCAGGCACGGAAAAGGCCTTCTTTCAGCAAATGCATTTTCTTTTCAGCTTCAGAGAGAAGCTGAGAGTCAGTTCAACAACTTCTAAATGCATCGACCACTGGAGGATGTAACCCAGGGGCAGATAATTAGAAATACAGGAGTCACAGCAACCCCAAAACTGCACAAGATCCCGCTGGTTTCCCTTCCTCTATTTCTCAAACTTTTTCTTGTGATTTGAAAGTTTACAGAGCAAATTGGTTTTCCATTCAACAATTCCTGCACATTTTCCTTTGTGACATTGATCCCAGTCCCCACATAGTAGCAATACTCTTCCTCTTTCCTCCCAGGGTTCCCCATTCCTGCCTATTTTCTATTCCTTAGTGCCTTCTTCCATAGTTGTGCTGCCAACTCAAAAGGTTGGAATATTCTGGCGCATAGTGGGAGAAAGACGGGCAGTCTCTTTTGCTGTCTCTGAAAACCTCCTGAGCTGTGAGTCAGTCCCAACCAAACATATTATCAGTCCCTTCATAGGCCCCTCTGATTGGTTGAAGTGAAGTCAGGGGTTTAATTTCCATCCCAGGCTTGAAGGGTAACTCAAGACCACCGCCCTGGTCATTCCACTGTCTCTATCAGACTAGTCATGCCATTCATTTTTGTGAACAAATCTCCTTTGTGACAAGACATTTGTTAACATAGAACTAGCTCAAACTTTCTTTTATGCAAAGAATTGTAACTCACGTAGAGTAATTGGGTCATTCTCTTTGCTTCCTGAGCATTAATTAAAAAATTGCAATTTCCTTGGTAACAGAGGTATCTTTAATGTATCATGTACCTGACCACTAACCAGAAGTTTGGTGGTCCAAATCCACCAGCCACTATGTAGGAGATGTAGGCTTTCTCGTCTATGACGGACTTGCAGCCTGAGAAGCTGGGTAGAGGGTCACTGAGCTGGAATTAACTTGGAAGTTGGAGCTTCTGTTGTTCTTTTTACACCACCTGAGGATTTGTGCCATCCAGTGATGAACCTGGTAGACTATGTACTCGCCTGGTGCCAGCTGACCTCAGGGAGGGAGGAGAACAGGATTAGCCAACAATGTGGCTTTTGACCGTTTTCCTCCTTAAAATTAATTCTGACTGACCTGACACTAGCCTTTCTATTTTTCAAAACAAAAAGATCTACCTTGAGATATATGAACTTAACTGCTCAAATAAACTCTCGTGCTTTTGAATTCATTTTGTGCTTCAGTTATTTTGACAAGCACGGTAAAGGCCAGGCAGCAGGACTTAGTTTGTTCGTGAAATGAGTTTGGCTAAACAGGTGTCATGTTGGAGAATTAAATAGAATCAAGTGATAAAGAAGGACTTCTGGTCAGAGAGCTTGTCTTTCCCGTGGAACAAGAGGAGGTGGTAGAAGAAATTTCATTCTTACGGGGAAGGCATGTTTTGACTGTAGGTGTTGTATTGGGAGAAGTACAACAAGAATGACCTGTAGATGGGAGGATGGGACAAAAGATGTATTGCATTTGGAAAATCTGCTGTCAAGGACCTCTCCAAAGTGCCAAGGAGCAGTGGTGTCAGTTTAAAAACTAGGTGTACCTGATAGAAGCTATGGTCTTTCAATTACTTCTTATTTATCTGAAAATTGGACAATGAATAAGAAGGATGACTGAAGAATGGATGCCTTTGAGTTGTGGTGTTGGAAAAGAGATCTGAATACCCCATGGACTCAAAAGAGCAAACATGTGTTGGAGCAAGTGCAGCCAGGATATACCTTAGAGACAAGGATTGCAAATTTTCATGTCACAGTTTGAGCGTACTGTTAAGAGGGGCCAGATCTTGGATAAGGACATCATGCTTGGAAAGGCAGAGAGTCAATAAAAGAGGAAGACCCTCAACTTGATGAATCTCAGCAGGATAGGGAAAGGTTCAGCCCCGTTCAGAGGGTTGCTGTGAGGTGCATTTAACAGCACAGACAACACCAGGAGTGAGAACTGGCTTGACAGCACCTAACAATGACCAGACTCAGAAGGCACATGCCTACTTCTTTAACTCTTCTATTAAAATCACGTAGATTTACTTCCATTTATGGAAAGATGGAGCTGAAAAGAAATGTGAGGAAACAGTGGGAAAAGCACCAGCAGGGAAATCTGAGCAGTGAAAAGGAAGCACATCAATGTTATTCTCGTAAACACAAGTTATCACATAACAAAACAAAACAAAAAATCCTCTGATTTTTGCCTTGTAATTGTTATCTCAAGAGCCCTGGTCCAGTGGTTAGAGTGTATAGCCATGAGCCAAAGAGCTGGCGATGGGACCCAGCTGCACGGAGGGAGGTGAGGCTGCCTGCTTCTGTGAAAACGGTCGCTTGGGAAACTCTAGTTGTAATCTATGTTATGGGCTCTCTATGAGTGGAAATGACGATGGCAATGGAGTCTTTCATTCGTTGATTCTTTCGTTGGTTGGCTTTATTATGATCCCGTGTTTACTATGAAAATAAATTTATATGTAAACAAATTTATATACAAAAGACACAAACAGATGAATAATGACTTACATCATCCAACTGAAAAAAAGTAAAACCAATTTATAAGCAAGAGATAAAATGTCTAGTAATGAGTATCCTTATTGTAAGGCAGTGGAGAGGCAGGAATAGACGTGTGAGCCCAGCTGTCTAAAGTAGCAGCAACAAGCCTCAGGTCGGAGGTAAGTTAGAGCATTTTGGTTTTCACTCTGGTGTTAAAAAAAAAATACAACTGGATTTGGAAAACTTAGAGGTAAATATGGAAAGAATATAGAAGCCTATGAAATGCCTTCCAGGATGCCTGAGAAGGTCGGCACTGGTGGTACGGTGGTGGACACAGCTGCCTTCCAGGATACCTGAGAAGGTCGGCACTGGTGGTACGGTGGTGGACACAGCTGCCTTCCAGGATACCTGAGAAGGTCGGCACTGGTGGTACGGTGGTGGACACAGCTGCCTTCCAGGTACCAGACAAGGTCAAAGTGAAGAAAATGTAGCCAAGAACAAGAAGAACATGATCAGGGCAGCGCCCAGAGGCAAATGAACTGGCGGACAGCTCACCAGAAACAGACAGAGGCCTGAAATAGATCCACGTGAACAAACACAACTGATCTTTGGCAAAGGGACCTCGGTGGTACAGTGGTTAAGCGCTTGTCTGTGAACCAAATAATTGGTGGTTTAACCATACCAGTCTTTCCCTGGGAGCAAGTCTGTTTTCAGTAAAGATTACAGCCCACAGAGGCAGTTCTGCTCTTACAGGGTCGCTGTGACCCAAACAGTGGGCGGGGATCCCTGCAATGGAGCCTGGAGCCCAGGTGACCCAAAGGGAAAAGGGTATGTGCTCAACACATGGTGCTGGACAACTGGACATCAGCCCTCACATCAATCTCCCCACCTTTCGAGGTTACTGGGCAACCAATTCATGATTTTAGACACTGCTCAGAAAAAGAATCCAACATTTATCTTGCTTTTCCTGTACAGACTGTGTATCAAAGTAACGAAAAGCTGCTGAAGGGAAGTGTTTTACGGAAGAATTCTGATGATTAAATACAAAAGGACTAAGAGGAGCTGAGTGTCATTTTCCAGGCCCTCACGAGAGAGTGTTTCAGGGCAAGGATTGATCATCACTGGCTGCTAAACACGTTAGGACAAAGGACGTTAAAGCACCATGTAACGGGCAGGTCAGGCAGACCTCACCTAACGCCGCCTGCCGATCTCAGCGTCACAGATGGACTCCACAGTCCCCTTGTCAAGTCTACTGGCCATGAAAACCAAACCAAACCCTCCAAAGAGGAAGCCGACAAGACTTGAAATCTTATGTTGTTGGGGGTTGTTACCAACTCGATCCTGACCCCGTGAGTTACAGAGTAGAATGGTCCTTTTTTTTTTTCTTGGCTGAAATCTTAATGGAATTGAGTGAAGGTGGAATAAAAACCCAATAAAAATCTTAATGGAGGCGTATCACCAGGCCATTCTTCCGTGATACTTTTGGGTGGACCTGAACGTCTAACCTTCAGGTTAGCGGTCAAATGCAAACTGCACCACCTGAAGACTTCCAGAACAAACTACAAGTTTACAAAATAAAGTAGGGGGAGAGGAACATGGCATTCAGGAAATGCAGCTGGAAAAATCCAGAATATGAAAAATTTTGTAGGACAAATCCTTCAAGTGCTTCTATGAATATATGGCAAGGAAAGAAGGGGGAAGGTGATGATTACTTAAAAGAGATTTCTGTGACAGACTAGTAAAATGGTGCATGGGACTTGTTTGGATCTTGATGAGAACCAATTAACTGTAAAATGAGATATGAGACACTGGAGGACTTTCAAGCAGTGACTGGAGATTTGATGGTATGAAGGAAGTCATGACTTTTATTTTCTTTTATTTATTATTTTTTGTGCATGTACCATCAAATCAGATATGACTGGTACAGGAAGAGATTGCCCCTCCTTCTCCAGCAGAACATCCAACCACGCATCTCTGGGATTGTAGTGCAGCTTCTTGCCACTAGGCCACCAGAGCTCCCTAGTCGTGACATTTTTTGGGGTAAGAGATGCTTATAAACAAAGATGACGAAGGGAGTGGTGATGCCTGGAAGAGTCTGGCTTGACATCAAAGAGGACAGCCAGCAGCACCCTGGACTCATCCACGGCCTGAGAACCCAGGGCTGCACCAGTGGAGCCCTGAGGGACAGCACCGTCAGGAGGGTCCAGGAATCATGGTGTTGGCTGCATGGGAACCAAATAGTTCTTTGAGACCTTTTTCAAATTCTGCCTCCAAATCAAGTCCCACCTGAGCCAAGTCAGAAGTCTGAAAGAGAAAAGAGCAAAGCTCTTAGGTCATTAAATCATGCAGCTCTTAGATCATTTAATCATGCAAGGTTTTAATAGTGCTTGTTGTTATTATGTGGCGTCAAGGGGACTAGGACCCATAACAACCCTATGAACAATGGCTCTGAACCTTGTCCCACTGTCTCTGACACGCCTGCCCCATTGCCACAGTCACTGTGTTGATCCATCTCATCCAGGGTCTTTTCTCTTCTGCACTGGCCCTCTACTCTCCCAAGCATGATGTCCTTCAAGGACTGGTCCCTTCTGGTGACATGTCCGAAGTCTATAAGACAGAGCTTCAGAGTTCTTGCCTCCAACAAGCAAACTAGTTTCCTTCTCTCTTGGCAGTCCATGGTATGTTATAGTTTTTTTCCAGGACCACAACTCAAAGGCATTAATTCTTCTGACATTTATTATACAGCTCTCAGATGCATAGCAAGAGATGGAGACCATGGCCTGGATCAGGTGTACCTTGGTCCTTAGAATGACGTTGCTCTTTTGTACTCTGGAGAGGTTCTAGATAGCAGATTTTCCCAGTGCAACTCCTCTTTTGATTTCCTGACTGCTAAGTGCCAAGAGTGTTGACTGTAGATTCAGTCAAGAAGAAATCATCAGCAACCTCAATCCTTTCTCCACTGAGGGTCTTTGTCTTCTTGATGCTGAGTTACAATCCAAATTGAAGGTTGTAATCTTTGACATTTCACAGCAGGTACTTCAGGTCTTCCTCAATTTCAGTGAGCAAAGATGAGTCATCTGTATAACACAGGTTGGTTTTGAGTTTTTGAGTCCACTGGAAAATTTTGTTGTAAAGAAATCTTTACAGAGTGTGGATTCCTGGAAGTTTGGTTTATTTAATTTAATGAGGTCACTCATTACTAGATTTCTGTAGAGAATAATGAAAGTTGAGAATGACGAGTCTTCCCTCAGTATAAACTTGGTGGCAGGAAGGCAGTTCACTCCTCTCAGTGGTCGAGCAGCCTACCTGGAAACAGAGAAGGACAAAGGCCCTTTCCTGTTTGCTGACTTTTGCTGCCTTTCCCCTCAGGCCCTACAAGTCCCTGATTGGAACAAACGATCATCTGTACCAGCTGAAAGGCGAGCCTTCCGCTTCTGAAAGAACACAGCACCTCCATGGAGTGCACTGTGTTCTGCACTCAGGGGTCATCATGAGCTCAGAGAGGCTTGTCTTCCCCTCAATCCTTGGAATGCAGAAGCCATTTTCCTGCACAGCCACTGCTTTGTGCAGATCCTGCCAAATGAGACTAGTTGTCGCCTTGCCAAGTTCTGTTGTCCCAAGAATTAGGGGCAAGTGGAGAGATTGTGAAAGAGAAGCAGAAACGCCTCTTACCTTGTAAAAGGCTTTATGGTTTCGGAAGATCAGACGCACGTCCCGCACAAACCATGCCACCGTGTACATCTTCTGAGTCAACCTCTCCTTAATCAGGTCTAGCCACATGGCTTCCTTAAACGGCTCCCCATAATCTCGAATCTGGGACAGAGCCACAGAAGGGCAGTGTTAGCTCAGCCAACAAAACTCCCATGTATGTTGTTGTGTTAGATACCATCAAGTCAGAACCAACCCTTAGCTGACTCTCCAGTGGGTTTTCAGAGGCGGTAAATGACATAGGTGGAGACTGCCCATCTTTCTCCTGCAGAGCAGGTGCTGGATTTGAACCAGGTGCCTTTAGGTAAGCAACACAACTCCTTACCACTAAGCCACGAGATGCCTTCCATCGGTGCTGAGTCATAGTAACTCTTCAAACTACAGAACAGAACACTTCCTGGTACTCTATCATCTCATAATCATTGTGATGTTGTTGAGGGACTTCCTCTTTTTTCTTTTCCTATATTTTTCCACAGTCAACACCTTTGATACCAGCAGTCAGGAGATAAGGAGATGTATTTCTTTGGGCAAATCCACTGTCAGGGACCTCTCTAAAATACTGAAGAGCACTGATGTTGGTTTGGAGACTAAGGTGCACCTGATTTAGGCGATGTTCTTTCCAATAACTTGCTATGTATCTGAAAGCTAGATAATGAATATGGATAACAGAAAAAGAATTAATGCCTTTGAGTTGTGGTGTTGAAGAAAAGGACTGAATATCCCATGGATTGCCGAAAGAACGAACAGATATGTCTTGGAGAAGGTGAAGCCAGAGTGTTTCTCGGTGGTAAGGATGCCAAAGCTCCATCCCTCATACTTTGGACATGTTGTTAAGAGAGGCTATTCCTTGGAAAGAGATATCATGCTTGGAAAGGTGGAAGGTCAGTGAAAAGAAGGAAAGACTCTCAATGAGATGGAGTGACACAGTGACTTCAGCGATGGGCTCAAGTGTATTAGAGAGGATGAGGACGGCACAGAACAGGACAGGGTTCAGGTCTGTTGTTCACAGGGTCACTGTGAATTATACTTGACTTGGCAGCACCTAACAACAACAACAACAGTAATACCAAGTATGATATCTTCTCCATGGACTGGTCCTGACTGATAACTTGCCCAAGTGTGTAAAGAAAAAGTCTCTCCATTTTCACCTTGAAACATAATAAAATTCTTTATCGCGAGGGTAATACTGAAAACATCTGACCTCTGTGTGCCAGGCACTATTCCCAGCATACCATTTGAGTTAACTTCTTTAATCTTCTCCATCGCGGCCCTATGAGGTCGCTACCATATTGACCACTATTCCCAGCACACCGCCTGTGTTAACTCCTTTAGTCGTCTTCATCATGGCCCTACAAGATAGTTACCATATTTACCACCATTCTGTCATAAGGAAGCTGGGACGTGGAGCAGGTAAGCTGCTTACACAAGATTTCACAGCTTTGAGTCCCATGCAGTTGGCTCCTGAGTCTGTGCTTGTATTCTTCTGTTCTCTGTGCAAGAGTCTCGTTTTAAAGGGGACTAGACTGAGGCACCACAAGGTGGTGAGACTGCTCACACAGACCCCGAGAGCTAGCCTGGGCTTTTGAGTTGAAACTGTGTAGTGCCACTCCAGGGCCACGGCTCGCTCTCCCTGTCATGCCGCCTCATGGGCAAACCTGTGGGATTCACCTCACCAGTCTATCAAATGACAGCTTCGTAGGAGGAGGCGGCTTGGGGCAGTGGTGAGCGGGGGTGGATTCTTGCATTCCATGTCTGTGACCTGGTTGGCTCCTGGCTGGTGTGCGTCAGACACAGCTAACCCCGTATGACAGTCAGCGTTTGCATGGCTATGATGCTAAATAGGTTTCAGAGGAGCTCTCAAGTCAAGAAGGACTAGGAATGAAGGCTTGGCAGTCTCCTCCCAAATTGCCTGTGACAGTCTTTTCTTTTTTTAAAACAAATTATTTGTGTGTGTGTGTGTGTGTGTGTGTGTGTGTGTGTGTGTGTACACCATCAAATCAGATCTGACTGGTACAGGAGGAGATTGTCCCTCCTTCTCCAGCAGAGCATCTCATGGATTTGAACTGTGCACCTCTGGGATTACAGTGCATCTTCTTGCCACTAGGCCACCAGAGCTCACCTGCCTATGACAGTCTTAGGGATCACAATGGTCCACTCTCCATGTGGTCATGATGATGGTGGTGGTGTTACATATCATTGAGACGATTACAACTCATAGCGACCCTATGCCCAATAGCTCTGAACCCGGCTGTATTCTGAGCCAACCTCACTGAGTCCACACCCCTACCCCCATGACCCTAGTTGTGTCAGTCCATCTCATCTGGGGTCTTCCTTTCCTGTGCTGTCCCTCCAAACTTCCAAGCCTGATGTCCTTCTCCAAGAACTGGTCCCTCTTGGCAACATGCCTAAAGTATGTGGGACGGGGAGCTTCAAAACCCTTGCCTCCAAGGAGCAGTTTGGTTTCACCCTCTCCAGGGCAGATCTGTTTGTTCTTCTGTTAGTCCATGGTATGTTCAATACTCTTCTCCAGCATCACAACTCAAAGGCATCAATTCTTCTTCTGTCATCTTTGGTCATTGTCCAGCATTGACATGTTTCGTTAACAACAGCTAACAACTTCACCTCACACACTTTGGCCATGTTATCAGTCTCTGCAGGACACCATGCTTGGTAAAATAAAGGGTCACTGGAAAAAAAGAAGTCCCAGTGAGAGGGATTGACTAGTGTAGCCCTGGGCTCAGCAACAGCATTGACTGGAAGGTGGTACCGGGTCAGATGGTGCTGCTTCTGGGGTATGGACAGCAACTATGAGTTGGAACTCACTTCAGGGCCCTTAACAACAGCAACGGCAGCAACTGGCAAGTTTTCAGAGATGGTATCACATGGGAGGAGATGGCCATCTTTTTCCTGTGAAGCAGCTGGTGGACTTGAACCACGTGCCTTTGAGTTGCCAGTACAACTCCTTACCACCAAGCCCCCAGAGCTCCCTGATCAGGTCACAATCATCTCCCGATGAGGAGAACCATACCCTATGACTTACATTATGTGGAATGTCTGCGAAAAAGGAGCTCTGTGGATGGCAATAGGCCTTCAGGAGGAGGAACTCGCACTTCTGTGAGGAAGAAAGAGGCTTTACAGAGGGCGTGACCGCACCTTGGAGGAGGTGGGTCGGCCTGCACTCAGCCTCAGCACAGGCACAGCCTCCACCAGCTTTCCCACCTCCCCAGACCGGCTGAGCTCTGCTTTGACTCTAACTCCCACATGGGCTGAGCTCTGCTCTGACTCCCCATATGGGCTGAGCTCTGTTCTCTAACTCTCACATGGGCTGAGCTCTGCTCTAACTCCCCACACGGACTGAGCTCTGCTCTGACTCTATTTTCACATGAAACTGTGACCATCTCAGACCCCAGCTCCAGCCAGCGGGCTGCCCTGCACTCAATGTGCTCTTCCTCCCAGGTGAAGGAAAGGAGGTGGCTGAGGGCACACAGACAGCTCACCAGCTGGTCCTCAGGTCGAATCCTCCTCTCCAGGATCCCGGGCTCCTGAAGACACTGCTGCCTCCCTGAGGAATCTTTCATCCTACAGAAGGTGCAACCCCACGGGGTCCTAGGAGTTGGGGAGATTGTCAGCAGGGCTGCCAACGAGCCTCACCTCAGGACAGGACCGCATAGTCAAGGTGGGTCCTGAGGTGCACCAGTGGCCTCAGGGTCACCAGGAGGGCTGCTGCTGCCCCTGCCCCCAGGCTCTGCTGCACCCACTTCTCCCGGGTGCCCCACTCCTCTCATCAGGCCAGCTGCCCATCATGAGGAGGTGAGGGAGAGGCAGGGAGGCGGGCACACTGACCTCTCAGCTTGCACAGGTGGGATGTGACAGTCTCTGTGAAACGATTTCATGCAGGTGTCACAGTACAGCAGCCGTCTGCCTTGACAGCACACCTCACACTCACCAGACACCTCTGACTGGAAAGTGAGAGAACACAGCGCGCTGGGACCCAGGGACAGCCAGGCACCAAAGCACCTGGTCCTGCTGAGTAGCCGTTGGACACTGCTGGCCCACTGACCGTGGCCGTGAACAAGCCTGGTCTTTCCACGCGTAGTACAGCAGGGGACAAGAACAGTCAGGTGCCCTCAAGAACCGCGTCTTGTCAAGGCTGGGAGAGACTCACTGTGGATTAAATTGTGCTCCCCAAAATATGTGTGGACCTATGAACGGGAGCCCTGGTGGCCTCACGGGTAGAGAGTTGTGCTGCCAGCCTGAAGGGGAATATTTTAAATGCATCAGATGCTCCATGCGAGAAAGACGGGCAGTCTCTTCCGGTGCAAGTCACAGGTTCTGAAAGCCCCCCAGAAGGTCAGCGATGGAGGCTGTCACTCCAAGGCTATGACCTTGAGTACCTGTGAATGTGACCCTGTTTGGAAAGATACCTCTTTTTTTTTTTTACATTAGTTAAATAATATCAGAGTAGGGTGAATCCCAAGGAATCATTTCTGAGTTTTGGAAGGAACAGACTAGACAAAGGACCTTGATGAGGAAGAGAGGAGATCAGGGATTCCCGGGAACTCGTGGTGCCGTTGATCAGAATGACACAGAACCTGGTGCCACCTTGTACGGAGCTGCCTGAGAAGGTGAGTCAGGTGGGGGAATGCTGGGACCTTAAGGTTCAGTGGGGGATGTGCAACACACAGGCTGAGGATATGGTGGAAAGTGACCTGTTTACCTTTCTCTTGAAACTTGTTCTTGAAGGACGGTGCAAAATTCCTTTCTGAAAGAGACAAGGAGGAATGAGGTCACACTGAAGTCTCTTTGTTAAGTGTGGACTTTCTCACTTCTGGGTGAGTATTTCTCTAGCATCTCAACCCTAGCTCCTCAAGGAGAAATGAACCCCTCCCCACAAACAGCTCTTCTGGACTTCATTTCCCCTCCTCCTTGTGTTTTTTTTCCTTGTTGCTCAAACCCAAGACCAACTAGTTCTTCTCTCTCCACCTCTTTCCATCCATCAGCCTCCACTTCCGTTTAGTCTTCTCCCCGTCAACCCCATATGATTTCACCCTAGTGATAATTGTCTATTTCAAGAGGCTTTGTGCTAAGCCAAGAATTACAAAGACTACTTTCTAGAAGTTTCCAGGCCAGGAACTACTTTCTACTTTCTGGAAGTTTCCAGGCCAGGAGCTGTGAAAATCCAGAGGATAGACTGGCAGAGATAGGACAACCCAGACCTGCTTCAGAGAGAGAGAGGTCAGCATGGAGCTGCGTGTCCAACAGGCAGGGCTTGGTCACAGGAAGGAGGCAGCAAGCCGCTTCATGTGCCATGTCTACAGCGGGTCTCCTTCCTGTCTGCTTCACGCAGCATCGCCAGATTGGACATGTGAAGTCTCTCTTGACCTCAAAACCATTTAAGGCTTTAGTCAGGCTATCTTGCTTGATTCAAAGTTTTCCACCACCAGTACCAATCTGCATTTCTTTATCACCCATGACTTTTTCCACAGGAAATGTCAGTTCTCCATAAACTAGGCTATGAAGCTCTAATTTGAGCTTCTGCACATTTCGGCCCATTGAATCTCCCTCTAAGGTTAAGGTCGTCTATTGTTTGTCATCACAATACCTCCAGTGGCTGCCTCCAGTTCTTCGACTTGGCCCGTTTTCCTGCCATCTCCAAACCTTTTGGTGAGGACCAGTCTCTGGTCTCAGCCTGGATGCACGTCTCCGAGGGTCCTGTAACATAAAGCCAGGCCTGTCCGGGGTCCACTTGCATGCCCTGTAGTTCACCCCAACCCTCCAGGCCCTTCATGATGACATTCCACCTTCTTCTGAAGTGGGCAGAGCTGCAGGCCCCCCACCCCCCTGCCCCGTTCTCCTACCCTGGAAGCACTGCAGGATTCCTGGGGACTCACCTGTGGAAGTGGAGTGGCTTGGTGGCCAGGACACCCTATTCAGGATTGAACTGTGCTACCTCAGAGGGGTGTTGGGTCCTACCACCCAGACCTGTGGATGTGACCTCTCTTGAGAACAGAGGTTTCTGTGTTTTGGTAATGAGGTCATATCAGCGTAGGGTGTGCCCTGGACCCCATCATTTGAGTGATAATAAAACCAGGTTAGAACCAGAAGAAAGCATATCAGGTTAGGGTGATGCAGAGATAGATGCCAAGGATCCAAAAGACAGAAAGAGAGAGAGGGAGGGAGAGAGAGGAGGAAGGGAAGGGAGAGAGGGAGAGAGAGAAGAGAGAGAGAGAGAAGGAAGGAGGAGGAGGAGGAGGAGGAGGAGAGGAGAGAGAGGGAGGGAGGGAGAGAGAAAAGGAGGGAGGGAAGGAGAGAAAAAGAGAGAGAGAAACACTTTCCCTGAACTGTGGGGAAAGTCTCTGAAGTGTGAGAAAATGAACTTCTGTTCTTTGAAACCCCCTATTTTGCAGTATTTCTGTAATAGCAGCACTTAGTCACTAACACACACTAGGATGCTCCAACATGTGACATTTTCCCTTTAAGAATCACCTCTTAACACATCTTACAGGTTATCCAAAGAGGGAAGGGGAGTGGGCAGGGGGGCTGAAGGTTGGAGGGGGAATCAGGGGTTACAGGGTTTGGTGGGTGGAGGGAGAGGGTGAAAAAAAAAGTATGTAAATAAAACATAATGTAAACAAATTATTTGTGCAAACTAATTAATGAATTAATAAACAAACAAAAGCACACTTTTTTGTCTGAATCCTCCCCATGGCTGGCACCATGTTTTGAACAGCTCTGCAACCCACCACGGGTTCTCTACTCCCTCCCATTCTAGGGGTTCCCAAGAGTAGAAGTCAAAGGTGCTCACCCCGCTGCTTCATTTTCTCCTTGTATAAAACTCCTTTGGCCTCACCACAGGTCACAGGGAGTCGAGGGGGGTGACAGTCAATGGCTTCATCTTCAGATCTTTCTGAAGCAAGAAGAAAACAGTGTAGCTTGACGTAGTCTTCATTCCGTCTTTTTTTATAATATTTTCATAATAACCATAAATGTTCCTGAGGGGGTGGAGTGTGTCCGTCCTTTCTTGTTCATTTGTAGGAAATCTTCCATTCTGAGTGGCAAGTAAGCTACAGGAGACAAATGATCTCCAATCAACAAAACCCCCACTATGATACATCAAACAAGTGCTGTGACTGAAAACGCAGGACTTCTCGAGTGCAAGTATATGTACACATCTCATTGGCATCGATTAGAACCTGCTTTATTCTGAATTGCTGCAAAAGACCTCCATTAAATTTTTTAACATAAAAAATGTTTTTATTTTGCTTTCACTGTTGTACCTTTTCTTCTCCCCTCGCCTCCCTGAAATGCACCCTTATTCCAGATTGTTGTCATATATATAATGTCTAATCGTCAGAACAGAGCAAGGGAACACTGCATGGTTCAAAATAGGGAAGGGCGTACGCCAGGGATGCATCCTATCTCCATACCTTTTCAACCTATATGCAGAACCGATTATCCGGGAGGCTGGGCTCTATGAGGAGAAATGTGGGGTCAAGATTGGTGGACAATTTATCAACAATCTGCGTTATGCGGATTACACAACCCTGCTTGCTGAAACTGAAGAGGACCTGAAGCACCTGCTGCAGAGGGTCAAGGACTGCAGCCTACAATATGGATTGAGGCTCAATGTCAAGAAGACAAAGATTCTCACCACTGGATCAATTGGCAGCATCAGGATGGATGGTGAATAGATTGAGATTGTACACAGCTTTAGTTTGCTTGGCTCCACAGTCAACACTCTTGGCACCAGCAGCCAGGAAATTAAAAGGTGCATTGCCATGGGAAAGTCTGCTGTTAGGGACCTCTCCGAAGTACCGAAGAGCAATGGTGTCTCTCTGGAGACTATGGTGCATCTGATATAGGCCATGGTCTTTGCAATCACTTGTTATGCATCAGAGAGTTGGACAATGACCAAGGAGGATAGAAGGAGAATTGATGCCTTTGAGCTGTGGTGCTGGAGAAGAGTATTGAGAATACCAAGGACTGCTGGGAAAACAAACAGATTTGTCCTGGAAAGAGTTAAACCGGCTGGCTCCTTGAAGGCAAGGATTCTGAGGCTCTGTCTAACATACTTTGGACATGTTGTGAGGAGAGACCCATCCTTGGAGAAGGACATCATGCTTGGGAGGGTGGAGGGACAGTGCAGGAGGGGAAGGCCCTCTATGAGGTGGATTGATTCAGTGACTGGGATAATCGGGATGGGAGTGTCAGAGACAGTGTGATTGGCACAGGACAGAGCAGAGTTTAGGGCTCTTGTACATAGGGTCGCTATGAGTCGCAAGCAACTCGACGGCACATAACAACAACAACAACAATCATATATTTCTTCCAGACATTTCTCCTCATCTGATCTAATACAGTATCTATATTCTCTTTTTGTCTCCTCAACCCCCATGTCTGTCCCATTTTATAACTGTGGTGCTGTGCAGTATTTGTCCTTTTGTGACTGAGATCTTTCATTTAGCATAATGGCCTCCAGGCTCCCCTATAAGTCTGCAGAGTACTTTACTTCCTCTCCCAGATGGCTACCAAGAGAATCCGATCACAGGAAACAGCAGCTGTGCTTTTTCTCTCTGTGAAACTATTCCCCCTGCTTTTTTCAGGAATAGTTATCTGAGACCCCAGCCCACTTCCCTATCTTGGAGGAAACATCTTTAAGCATCCCCTTCCCACATCCCTTGTAAGACAGTATAAAATTTCCCTCTAACTTCTGTGGAGGCTGGTCTTCTGCTTGAGAGCCAGCCCGGCAGTTTCTCCTCAATAAACTATCTTTCTTGGCCTGCACTGAGTTCTGTCCTTCCTCAGCGACCTTACATCCCCAGTGCATAAAATTCCATTGTGTGTTTGTACTATAATTTTTCTGTTCATTCCTTTGTTGATGGGCACTTGAGTTGCTTCCACCGCTTTGCTCTCCCATTTTATTTTAACTTCTGATTACAGCTTGAATAAAGGTTTATAGAGCAGGTTGGTTTTCCACCAATCATTCACACATATTTTGTTTGATGGCATGCATTACAATAGTCAGAACCTAAGTGAACACTTCCCACTCCCTCCCTGTGATTCTCTTCAGCATTCATCTATCTATCGTACCCTTTCTGGCCTTTTGACCATTATACATCCCTGAGCAAATGCTGCCCTTTTGATCTTGCAGGGCGATGTTCTAAGGAGCGAGTATCTTGCCGGTGTTATTGATCACTTTGCAATTCTATCTATGGGGTTGCTGAAAGCTGAGCTGCAGGGGTGAGTTCAGTTAGAGGTTTGAACAGTGTCTAAGGGTCATCATCTCGGGGGTCTCATCGGTGTCCAGAGCAGTAAGGCTGGACAATTGTATGGTTTTGAGCTTTGCTCCCCATCTTTGTCCCATTCTACTCAGGGCCTTCTCTTGTGATGTCCACCCCCAGAATCTGATAATTCTCAAGCTGAATGCTATCCCCTAAAGTTTCCTTTCAATCAATTAAAAATCAACTGAAACTGTCAACAGCTTCATCTTGCTTGGATCCATAATTAACACCCTTGGTACCAGCAGTCAGGAAATAAGGAGATGCATTGCACTGGGAAAATCAGCAGTACGGGACCTCTCCAAATTATTGAAGAGTAATGATGTCAGTTTGAGGACTGAGGTGTGTCTGATTCAGGCCATAGTCTTTCCCATTACTTGCTGTGCATCTGAGAGCTGAACAGTGAATAAGGATGGCAGGGAAAGAATTGATGTCTTTGAGCTGTGGTGTTGGAGAAGAGCACTGAACATCCCATGGATGGCCAAAAGAATGAATAGATGTGTCTTGGAGTGGGTGCAGCTAGAGTGCTTTTTGGAGGCAAGAATGATGAGGGTTCACCTCACATACTTCAGGGATGTTTCTAGGAGGGGCTATTCGTTGGAGAAGGACATGGTGCTGGGAAGGGTGAAGGGGTCAGTGAAGGAGGAGAAGACCCTCAACCAGGTGGATTGATACTGTGCCTGCTGTCATGGGTTCTTGTGTGTCAGGAAGTGTGAGGATGGTGCAGGATAGAACAGGGTTCAGATCTTTTGTTCATAGGGTCACTCTGAGTCATACTTGACTGGACGGCACCTAACAACAACAACAAGAAGGTTTCTTTATTTTATACACATCCTGCTCAGTCACCGTGAAATGTCTTCTCAATTCCACAGGCGATCCTGACTTGTGATGGCCCCATGTGTCTCAGATTAGAACTGCACTCCAAAAGACAGGAATGATTTCCAGAAGTAGATTACCTGGCCCTTCTCCCAAGGTGCCTCTGGATGGATGCAAATGTCCAACCTTGTGGTCAGGACAGCTCCAGTGACCACAGAAGTGCCAGGTGTGCTCATAAAAGGCTGCCAGACAGCTGGGTGACTTTGGGAGATGGGAGGGGGGAGCATCCTCCAACCACCCCCCCAAGAGGCTTCATTCACCAGGTCAGGCAGGTCATGAGTCAGGACAGACCTGGGACTCAGGTGTTCTGAACGCACGACCCCTGCCCTTGAGTGATGATAACACTTCTGGGTCCTACACATGGTTCAGCCTCTCCCATTCATTTCAGCAAAACAGACCTTTAAAGACAGAATCCTGGGGCCCTGGGACCCTGAGGGCTGCTTGTCTGAGGCTATTCATGGTCAGCTGATGGTGCTCATAGAGTGTCCTTGGGGCAACCGCAGCCACAGACTTAGAATACCACCAATCACGATGAACACGCTGTGAATGGCGAGGTGT